TAGGCACGAGTTTTGAAATTCAAGAGTCAAATTTCTATGACACACTATTAGTGATGTGGGAAATTTTGAGTACTCTTACAATTTGTCAAAACCGTTGAGAATTTGTTGAAACCAGAGACGCCAATAGTCATTCGCCAAATTCTAGGTCTTACCGACCTACTATCATAGGCCATTCAGAACTCCTCTCAAATTATAGAAACCCTTACGACCTTGACCCAGCAAGGTGTGGCCCTTGACTGGGAGGTTGAGCAAGAAAAAGAAACCTTGGAAATTCCAAGTGAGAGACCAAGTTCTTTAGAAAGTCTCACTCTGGGAATGGCTTAATACGCTTTGTAAAGCGTGGAAAGCTAAATCCAAGATAGATAGGACCTCCGAGATTCTTACCAGAATCGGTCTTGTATCTCGCAGACTAGATCTACTCCGCGAACTCAGTAACGTACATTCTACTCTTCGTGTCTCGATAGTGAAACCATACCTTTCCGTTAGGACTCTCGTAATGCCACTCGATGAGATCCTCACCTTCGTATTAGAACCGTAGTGACCCTCGACCGAAAGGTGAAGCAGACAAAGCAACGTCGTCGCCCATTAGTGAAGGTTCGTTTAGATACCAACCGAGGACCCAATTTCACATAGGAGCGCTAGAACCTTTCGATTAGGAAGTTTTCACCTCACAACTCGATCATTCATACCTACTTCCTTATCTAAATTTTAATTTCAGGACGAAATTCCCTTTACAGGGGGATGATGTGACAACCCAAAATTTCCATTCTGAACAAACCATATCAAGCCAATAGAAGTTAGAACAGTTACAGTGAAATTTCAGACTTTGGGTATAAGTTTGAGTATTTCAGGTTTAGCACTTAAGGAGATATCAGGAGAGTGGATGCACTAGGGTTTTGTGCAACACTGTTATTCCACTACTCTATGATATTAGAGTTCATTCCGGGAATAAAATATTTTCTGCCAAAAATCTTAGGACTATATATAGAAATCTGAACTATATTCATTCATTAGTTGCATTTCCAACAAGAGAAAAGCCGAATTCTCTCTCACGGATCTTCGGGTTTTTATCCCAAATCGTGAGTACTTCTATCTAGTTATATAATATAGCATAGATTGTGTTTAATAACATCAAAATAATGTCAAAACACTAAGATCTGTGAGTTTACCGCCCAAGAACACCTTGGGGAGTAAACTCCTTTTTAAGGGCCAAAAGAGTGCCCAATGTCCCTCAAAGCCTTGGAAATGAACCTAGAAGCTACCAATACATGTTTAGACCACCATAACAATTAAGAATCAAGGGTGAAAGTGAGTTCACGGCCAAGGAAGTTCTTGGGTTGTGAACTCCATTTTAGGTTTCCAAAATGCCCTAAATGCCTTCATTGAGCCAAGAGACTAGCATATCACATTACCTTGATGTGTCTAGGACCCAAAACAATCAAAATACCAACACCTATGGGTGTTCACGGCCGCAAACACATGACCAATTGGTCCATGGGCTGAAAACTCAAGTTAGCGGTGTTTTGATGCCACAAACACTTCCTAAGGCTTAGGCTTGAATTTAGACATGTACCCTAATGAGTTTGGGACTATCAAACACCATTAGAACACCAAGAGTAAGGTGTTCACAGCCCAAAAAGTTCCAGAGCCATGAACTCCAAACAATAGTGCCAAATGGTGCTATAAACTCTTCTAAAGCCTTGAACACTAGCATAGTTTACTTCCTAGTTAAATTTGGGACTTGAAAACACCACAAACATCCTCCCAAAGGAGATTACAGCCGTAATCTCCAAGGGATATGGTCCCAGGGCTGTGAACTCCTCAAAGGAGTTAAAAAGGAAGCACTAACGCTTGTTTAAGCCTAGAAGCACTTCACCACTTGAGTTGTAATAATGTTAAGCTCCATTTAGTGATCCTATAGAGATTTTACGGCCAGGAGTTTACTCTCCTGGGCTGTAAACTCCAACACATATGGTCTTTTGACCATAAACTCCCATAATAGGTCTTGCACTCCTTTGTTGCAACCCGTTAGCCTCCTAGCACTTGACCAAAAGTGTTTTCCTCGCACAGGGATGTTTATACATGTTTAATTAGTGTTATAATCACTAATTTTTTATATACATATGTCTTCATATGTAATTAGGACCATTGTGTGTGTTAAAAGTCTTCACTTGACACCTAGCAGTCCTACCTCTTTAGTTCATTCGTATCACCCACAACAAGTGAGTTCATACCCCTTATTCAATGTTTTAACTGTTTTTAAATGTTTTATGGGGGGATACAAGTAGAATCATGCTAGTTACTATATCAATCACATGTGATTAGTAAGCAGCATTCAAATGACTGGCTACTCATTAGCTGTTTTACCAAACAGTTTACTTCAAATGGTTTTCATAAACACTTTACATGTTTAAAACTCCTTATTACATTGTACATTTTACTCCGAATGATTCATTTCAAACTCATTTACAATTTTGTTTCAAACAAATGTTCTTTATACTAAACACTTTTATCAAACCCATGCCTTCAAACCGTTTTCTAGATTGACAACAAGTTAATCTTTTCTTAGATAATAATTATGTTCAAAGGTTTTACAGAAATTACTTTATGCTTTTATATTATAAATTGCATGCCTATATATGTATAATTATATAAGGAATGTTTAAAAGACTTAGGAAGGCTATCCACCCTATTTCCTTTTCGCGCCTGAGATGTGGTCTGGTGGGATATCGGGTACTCGTCCGAAGGTCGTTTAAATAGTAGTTATATATATCATGTGTACATATATAGTCATAAAGGTCCTTCCAGTTCATCCAATGCCCTTGGGTAGCAAGGGTATATATCCATGTCTATACGTATAAGTTAGATTACTAGTAAACTACCATAGGGGTAGTTTAGGAAGATACTAGAACTATTACTAGAACGCGATATCATACAATGAGTCAGTTCATTCATGAGTCAATACCTGCTAGATAGAGAGAACATACATTACAACTAGTACACACAGTACATTACTATACATGCTAGATAGAGAGAGAACACATGTTACAGCTAACACACGTAGAACATTACAGTACATTACTATACTATTACATAGATATGTTTTACATGATTACGCTTACATTAGTACATTTACATACATACGTTTACATGAGTGCGGTTACATATACTTTGATAGGACAGACATCACTAGGTGCTGTAACATAGAACAAGTTCAGGATCTAACTATACCGATGAATCACAACGCATTGTGGTAGTTATATCGGGTATACATGATCATAGTAATGTGCATGTTCACGGCTTGCATACAGGCAGGCGTCGTGTAAAGGTCCCAAAATCCCTTTGACAGGGGAGCGTTTAACCTCGGATCTAGCCATCACATTAGGCATTATCCCAGAAATAAGGCAATATGAGTACAGAGGCAGTCACTTATTACAAATAGTGCAATACTTACGAGATTACCCTAGACTTAAGGTAACTAGTACGGTTGTAGTTCGACACTACACCATAGTACTATTTCATTTTCCCATTACATTCACTTCGTGAAAATTCACACGATGCACGGTAATGTAGAAAATATATTTTTGGTTAATGATAGCCGGGTTTGGGAAAATACTCACTCTTACAAGAGACACACACACACACAGACACTAGATGCCTTGATAGAAGGATACGATTAGTAGGAAACATAGGGTTTCCTAGGATCATTCAAAACATTTTCATACTTACAGTTCATATACATTTTCAATACTTATAGTTCATATACAAATAATTTCTTACATATAAATTAAGACACTAAAATACTTATGATCTCACCAACTTTAAAGCTGATACTCGCTTTCAAAATACTTGTATCCTCAGGTCATCCATAGACAGGTACCGATGCAAGGTTTAGAGAAGATGGAGCTCATTCAAGACTCATCTTTCATTTTGTATATACTTTAGTGTCTATCAAAATTTGACAGAACACACTTGTATAATAATTATATAATTAATGCAATGGATGATGTTGTTTCTTGTTTACTACTTTTCATTGTTTTGATACTGTACATGACGTCCTCCGCCCCAGAACATTTCCGTCGTTCGATGGTTTTGGGGTGTGACACCTCTAAGCTAGAAACACCTCCTTCTTGCAAGAATCAACCACAAAGATCAAGAAATGGCTCCTTTCCTCTCACAATCTCTTTAGCTGTTTTAGGGTCTCTCTATGGGGTTTGGTAGCCGTAAATGACGGCCCTAAGGTCCTTTAAATAGGTCCCAAACTCGGGAAATTAGGATTTCATTAAACAGCGTGGACTCGCCGTGTCCAGTCATGAACCCGGATGAGAATCTGCAACCCTACTCGGCGAGTCTAAGCACCAACTCACCAAGTCCCTCCACAAGCTCCAAAAAAAAGAATAAAATAATATACCTGGGAATCCGGATGTTGCAACACGCATTCACATATCGTAACCTTACGACACGCGTGTTAATGACATGCAGTGCGTATCAAGAAAATCCCTTTCAAGAAAGGCCATGTCATAAATGAATATGACACACATTTTTGCGTATCATAAATTTAAATTTTTTAAAAAAATTTATTTATAGATTTACTAATTTTCAAATTAAATTTGTATTTAATGTCTCATACTAGAAAATAAAATATCATATAAAATAAATACAATCCATTGCATAAAATTTATTTTCATACAAATATTCGTTCCATGGAAAGATAAAACAAATCAATAGTTGTAAAAAAAATTTACAAACTAATTAGATACAAGAAATATAAAATAATATACCCTCAAATACTTTTCAAAGTCTAATCTCCATATCAACTCTTCAACTCACTTCTCCAATTTGTCCTTAGGTTATCTAAGGGCTCCAACATCTCTTGCAGTTTTAAAGGCACAAAGAAGAACAGAATGTGATATTATTTTGCCACCTAGATGTTCTTCAGATATGTGATGAGAATCATACCCCTTCAAAGGAACAACAAGTAAGGTATTTGTAATTAAATATCAGTCCACATCCCAACTACAACAAGATTACTATAATTTGGATTAAATAGGGTATAAATATAAGAGCAAAATATTTAGATAATTATACCTGAACAAGTTGACACACCTTTCTAGAACTTCCACATAAGAGCCTTTTGTATCAGGTTGGAGATTCAACTTAATAAGCTGCAATATGTAAATAATAATAATAATGAATTACATTAGCATTTGACATTATTGAAGTTGATATGATACTTTTATGTGATGAAAGTTTTTACATACCTGGGAATCTCCATAACTTGAGCCAACATACATAAATGCATTATCAAGATATGATATAGTTGATGCTATAGAAATTTCCATTAGAAGCTCAATTTTAAGTTTAGTAACTCTAAAACAATGAAGAGAAAGTATCTTTTCGAACACTTGGGAAGACTACTTAATGGTATATATGACAAAAAGTAGAATTACAACTCACTTTTCTTTCTCATGGGCAATGACAAGCAAGTGAATAAAGCCACTATGGTCTAGTAATAGACGACAAGTTTATGACACAATACATAAGTTAAAAATGAAAATATGTTTCCATCTCAAAGATGTTCAGATCTGGTATATTTATTAAACCGGTGACTAAAGCTACTCTCCCCCTGATCTGTCAAAAAATGCTTCATCTCAAAGAGAATGAAGGGATCTTTCAAGGGTATTTTGGTCTATTAATAAAAAATGATGAATGAATGTGAAAATAATTTTACCAAATCTGAACATCTTTCAGTATGTCTAAGAAACTCACGACCTAAACCAAAGCCACTATGAGCCCCTTCTGGTTGACTATCAAGTTGTACCCTAACATTCGAATATGCCTCATCCACAAGGACTATATCTTTATCAGGTAGGAAACAAGATGAATCTTGCTCAACTTCTTGAGCCCTTCAACATCCATTAATCCAATCACAATCTTTTTAGCCTATTATAAGTATTCAAGAAGATATTAGATTCAATTTTACAGAGATGGATCTTTTGGTGAGTTTTAGTATTGTTTTATGATAATGAGAAAGCTTATTACCTCTTCAACATGTTGGGAATCTCCAAGCATTCAAACTTTCAATTTAGGAAAAAGGGGTAGATATGGGACTCTTACCAACTTGCTATTGTACAAAACCTAACATTAAAGAACAGAAAATAAAGATGAATAAAAATTTTAAAAGATCAAAAGTAAAACACCATGAAAAGAGAGAACTTACAACTTCCTGCATCTTGTTTCTATAAAACACAATTCCAAAGGAGACCACATCAACCTGTTTATTAATTGTTATGTTACCAAAAACACAAAACAAAAGAAAACAATATGTATGGTGATGGAATCAAACAAGGGAAGGGAAGGTATTACTTTGTCAGATACTTTATTGTTGCTACCATTTAGCAGCTCAGGAGCCATCCATGGCAGGGTGCCCCTAACTCCACCTGAAACCAAAGTGTTGTGCTTCATCTTTGATAGTCCAAAATCTCCTACCTTCAGCATTAATAATAAGAAATAATAAGAAAAAGAAAAACTTTTAAGTCGTGATAGATAAATACCTTGAATATAGGGCGCGAAGGTCTTTCATATTGACAATCAAGTTCTCACATTTGAGATTAAAATGCACAATATTCTTGGAATGTAAATACTCCATCCCAAAAGGCTGCATCCGTTGCAATTATAAGCTTCTTGCAATGGTCTACAACAGTAACATATGAATCTAAAACTTCACACTACCAACACTTTGCTCCGACATTGTGATCTAACAACATTCTAACTACAACAATACTTCACAATAACAAGACACAAAGAAACCAAAAAAGAAGGTGGTGCATATGCATTACATCATAACACTGATACCTTTATAAAAAAAATGGCCTCATGGGAGGAAATGAGGCCATTTTTTTTATAAAGGCCATTTTTTTTTATAAAGGTGTCACTTGAAATACGAATTTCTCCAGCAATGGTGGAACTCATTGAACATGAAAAGTATTCGCTTTCTGGAAGTTCAGATAAACCCCTGTATGCGTATCCTGTGAACAAAACCTGTTCAAAGTAACACATCATTTTAATCACATAAAAAACATGTAGATAATAAGTTTTTACATGTACTAAAATTTTAAGTGCATGAAAACAAACCTGGTCTTCAAGGAAGTCTGTGTGCATATAGTAGACACGCATTCCATTTGAAAAAATCAGCTCAGTGACTCCAATATTTGAATATTCAGACTACTGAACTACACTCCTATAATAGACAAAAAAAGATTTACCAATGGGAGATTAGCAACTATACAATGTTGTATGATTTATTTATACCTGCAAGCTTTCGGCGAATTCACGATCATATAAATTTTTGGTGGTGGTGGCTTCAATGGTGGACTTAGAGAGAGTTTTGGGTTTCATCCAGTGTGGCTGACACCCACTCAAGATATGGATCCCATCAGCACATATTCAAACACATGAGATGAGATGCAATCAACATACTTAAGTTATAAATAAATAAGTAAAATAAAAAACTTACCCATCAGCACAGATTACAGGAAACAGTCTTAAGAGCAAATGTAAACCCAACGACATGGAAGACCTCAAAGCCAAAGGAAAATCCAATAACCTCGGACTCCTGCCTCTGATTTTGTCTTGCCAATCCTAGACTCCTGCCTCTGATCCCCTTCCTTGTATTCGCTTTACTAACCGGACCCTCAGCTCCGGAAACTCATAGCGCCATTTCGGAATTCACCAGATATGTCTAGTTGGACCCATAAAGCTTTTGCAAGAAGGTAGCTTATGAATATAACAAGCAGCCATAAAGGATTCCTAACCAAAAAAAAAATTAACGTCAGTGTAAGTCAGAATAGAAGACTAGTTTTATTTAATGTAAAAAGACAAAAATAACCTCAAAATAGTCATGAACTCGTTGAATCCAAGTACCACCATAGCAACGATAGCCCATGGATGTGGTAACTAGTTGTTATTGAGTTTATTATCTTCCTGAAAAAACCATGGCAGACAAAATTACCAATCTACCCTCACAATTCAATCTAAATAAATATCTAAGATTTTGAAAGAAATACCTAGGAAGCAATAGCTTTAGTGATTGTATATTCGGTTTCTTTTTGAAATTGGCTCCACAATGATTTGCATTGAACATGAGTTATGAGTGAATTTCTAACTGGAACCTGAATGCAAACGAAAAAATAAAATGCTCAAAAGAAAATAGTAAACAATTTTTTTTCTTGTGGGTAGTTTTATATAAGTAGAACACTATTATAATAAGAAGATATTATCTATTGCTCAATCTCATTCATCTGATTAATCAAATCACTGGCAAATGTAACCCCTGCTATTTTTCTCCCTCTCACTAACACTAAAAGACGTTTTTGTCCCTTGAAAACGAACCCTTGCTAATACCAAGTCCCTGTTTTCTAGAAGTTGCTTTATCCTGCAAAAACAAAATATGTTAATTTTGTAGATTTTTCTACAATACTATAATAGGAAAAAGTAGAAGTGTAATAAACAAATGCTTGTCCTTAGGAATATACAAAGGCTATTGAAATTATATTAGTGACAACATTAATAACTTTACCTGCATTTGAAGAACATTTGGAGGTGGCATCTTTTTTATGTGAGAGGTTTTTTCATAGTAAGCAACATGTGAATGTCAGATTACAAGAGTAATTTTAACATTTCCAAGTTCCACCATTAGAATGACCTTCCCTACAATGACAAAAAAAATTGGTTCAGAAGACAGTTGACTTTTATGGTCAAACGTATTACAAAATTAATATATAAATACCTTAACCTCTCACAAAGACGAACTAAAGCATCTGAACCAGTTCGATATGCAACATCTTCAATCATAGAAGCATTACATGGTGTTACACAGTCTTCAATTTGAAACTCACAGAAGTCTTTCAATGAACACGCATCTATTAATACAGCATAGTGGCCCCCACCAGCTGCTAGCTTCCTCACTTCCCTCAAACACCTATTTCGATTATTCATCAGTCAAACCTTCAAGTCAAAGGAAGAGAGAGAGAGAGAGAGAGAGAGAGAGAGAGAGAGAGAGAGAGAGAGAGAGAGAGAGAAATATACCAGTCAACTGGAGATGGGTACCAAGCATAAGTGCATTTCTGGTTAGCTGCTTAGCCATAGTTGTTATAACCCGAACCATCGATTTTACCATCTTGTGTGCAAATAAGCTTTTGAGAATGTCGACAAGCAACCTGTTTTACACCAAATGGAAGGATCAAAACCGATGGTGCATGCTATGTGTGTATGCAAAGAATCAAGAAAAGAAACATAAAAAAAAGAATTTAATTAATCGACTAATAGGAAGACTTACTGGATTAGTTTATCTGTATCAAATTTGATTTATTTCAACTTCTACAAAGTCAAAAGCATCAAAACAAAATAAAACCCACCGATATTAGAATATGAATGAATTAGGCCTCACCCGAATATGAGATCTATCCATTCATATAAATGTACAGAGGCATGCTCACTCTCAAGATCCATGCGATGCTTATGCACAAAATCAACAGGGTTTTCAGCCTAAGTAGGAAGCTTAACACAATCGGACGTCATCGATGGAGAAGTACAAAGTCTCTCTCTCTCTCTCTCTCTCTCTCTCTCTCTCTCTCTCTCTCTCTCTCTCTCTCTCTCTCTCTCTCTCTCTCTCTCTCTCTCTCTCTCTCTCTCTCTCTCTCTGCCTTCACCCGCTTCTACAATCATCCTGAATTCTAAGTACACATAAATCGATTGAACATCGATGGTCGGCGTGAGCGACGATTGAACATCGATAAAGACTTACATAATAGATGAACTTTTGATTAAACCTTTGATAAAGACTTATAGTTGTGGTGATAGTCGACGATTGAACATCGATGGTTGGTGTGAGTGGGAGTCGAGCAAAACCAGCGAATCGATTGAACAGGGAGAACATATTGAGGGAGGGTTATGTGATACAAAATCAAAACCCTAGTTCAAGCAATAGTCGATTTTTTGGCCTAATGAATGTAAAGTGGTCAATATCTTATGAGAAATGATGTGATAGAGATCAATCTATGGAGGATGTGGGTCATTCTTTGAGGGTTAAAAAACCCTAGTTTCCTAGACTTTGTGAGGATGATTTTTTCTAGTTTTTAGATTCCTACAAGGTATTAAGGAGTGGCGGAGAAGCAGATCGGAGAGAAGAGAGAAGGAGGAAGAGGGAGAGTAGACTGCGAAGATGAAATACAAAAAGAAGGTAGAAGATGGGTTTTCAAAATTTTTGGAATTTCGTTTCCCCTATGCTAAACGCGCATTTCATTAAAATTATAAAGTGACAGGTATAGTGGACGCACATTTAAAATAAAGTGCCCTCCATGTTTTTAATTTCATTTCAAGAGACACTAATTTAAGGGCACGCAATAATGCGTGACATAAATCCTTAATTTTTTTGAAGTGATGACACTTTTTTAATGTCACTCTCATTTGTGTAACATAAATCAATGAGTATCGTGGTTTGCGCGTCGTAAAGAGGTCTTTTTCTTATAGTGTCTCACCGATAGAGACTCCACAACTCCATGTATCCCGAATTTCAGATGACATCCTTAGAAACTTCTCATCATACATAATCTCATTCCATCCCGTTACCGGACATCACAACTGTCTAGTAGTAACCCTGACTCATAATCTGACAATGATGAGCTATCATGCCCCTCATCATTGACTCCTTAACCAATGTTCCATTATCCTATTTATCAAAAGAGAGGATTCCTCATTAGCATACTCAATACCCTTCATAGAAAATAGGAGCCACTGCCCCCATATGGTCCTCAAGATCGTCTGAAATTACAGCTGGCACATGCACTACCATACTCAAATAGAGTGCACCCTCGCCCTTGACTATCTCAGTCCCCACTAGCAACTTTCTCCTGCTATCTCATTGCCTTGCGGCAGACACACTGTCCATAAACTCTGGGGGAAGATCGCCATCAATGCTAACCCACAAAGTTTACCCCCATGCTCAAATCCGAAATATCAATACCTCTTATGTTTCCCACATGAAACAAAAATAGCACCACTCAGGTCACCGAAAGTGACATCTTCATTATTGGATGATTGCCCAACTCAGGTCGCAATCCTCCATAAACGCCATCTCTACTCATCCATAAGTCTTGCAACTTCATCTGAGACATCACTAACAATACCTTGGCATTTTCTTATCTTCCCTCACAAGGGATGCTTCGTTGGAACTTGTTCCACATGGCCCCTCTGACCTCATACTCTATGGCACCCGATCTCAGTATAACCAAACAAAACGGAATAACTAGTAGAACCAGTAACATTAACCACCATGCTCATGGTACTCGAACCACGTGGCCACCTCTTGTCTACTATAAACCATGGTGCTCGAACCATGTTATCTCTTCTCAATCCACTACGAAGCATGGTACTCGAACCGTGGCTTAACCAATCAATCTACTACTTAGCATGGTACTCGAACCATGACATCACCTCCCAGCCTGCTACTTAGAATCTCTAGAATACTCCCTGTATCAAGTATGGGTCCTCTGCTTTTAGTAGTACGGGCCCAGACTACCTGCCACATCTACCCATAATTTCCACACAGACCATCCTAGATTTCCTAAGTAGAGACTCAACCTTCTTGTTCGTCCATCCCGTTATATGTGTTTCTTCCCCAGTGAAATGTCAACCCTTTTTGTGCACTCATCTGACGACGGTCATACCTTAGGATCTTCCTAGGTGCTCACACTCCTCCGCCATCAGCTGATGAAGAACTCCTAATGATATCGGCCATCTACGTCCTGAATATCGTCATATTCACTTAGTAGCTGACTCCCATCACCGAAAGTCCCACAAAGCACGAAGAAAGAAACTTTCGGGCATCGAATAATCTCAATTAGCATGTATAAACACTCTAGGTTACAACTCCTCTTGCTATTCCCGTACTAAAAAGATATCACTAAGCTCAAGCAACTCCACCCCTCGTGGGTATCTAACTACCTTGTCAGTAGGCTCCTCTAATGCTCATCTAGGTATCCCTCCTAGATTACTCCTCTACTCAGATCCCTCTAAAAAGGATTCTTGTTGGATACTCATACCCCTTACATACTCAAAAGCAAATCACAGATAGCAGTAACTACTAGGCTAAGGCATCACAAATCAGGCCACTCTAGTCCTAAAATATGAAGTGCCTAGCCTAATCTCTAGCATGCATAACATATCACATAGCATTCATAAGACACAACGTAAGGGTATTTTGGAAAATCACCGTTCGGGCAGTGGATGATTGTACACACTGCTCTTTTGTACTTTCTCTTGAAATATTTTACTCGTTTCCAGAAAAAAAATCGTTTCTTTTGAAAAATTTCCTCAAATCCTCAGTTTTAGTCCAGACATACCTGATGGTGTATCGGAATCCCTCAAACCAAGGCTCTAATACCAACTTGTAATGACGTGAATTTTCAAACCAAATTTTTCATTTTTAATTTCATAAAACACATGTCATTTTAAATAAACACCTTTTAATAGTCAAAAAAAGTTTTCAAAACATTATTATCAAAATCCAGGATTCATATTCATGAATCTCCTCTCTTGTGTGTGTGTGTGTATGTACAATCGAGCTGCCGCCTTCCCGCAATCCTGATAAGAACCTGAAACACATAACACATAATACGGTAATCACCAAGCTTAGTGAGTTCCCCAAAATACCACATACACATATTAACCACTCGAGGTTATAACTTTGTAGGACCCTCCATTTCGATGTGTCATAGTGGGACCCTCCAGTCCCATGGCTCGTTGGACCCTCTGGTCTAGTTTGGCTGAGAACCCTCTGGTCTCACTACTCGTTGGACCCTTCAGTCTGGTATAAGTGAGGACTCTCCAGTCTCATAACTCGTTGGACCCTCCGGTCCGGTCATAATATAGCACAGTACGTTGAACCCTCTGGTCTGGTCTAAATATCACATAATATAGCACACATCACATATCACACATAAATTAATAAACTCAGGCATGCACATAAGACCTTCTAGTCATGCATAATTACTACTCTAGGTAAAGTATAGTGAGAAGACTCACGTCGGAGGATGAACAACCCCTATAAATGCTACTGCTACGCACCGGCCACTACTCTGTGCCAATCCCACAATTATCTCAGTTAGAACTTAGTCTAAATTCTTACTCATTGGGTCTATAGGTTGATTAATAACCATTCCTTCAGTTTCCTTAACCCATTGGGCCCACTAAGGCCCAATAATAAATGGGCCCTCTTGAAGCCCAATTCTCAAACTAAATGGCAAGCCCAACCCAAGGGCCCAAAGCATAAACACATAATTTTCCTAGTACTCTATTACATCAAGCCCAAAAATTCAGGCCCATCACTTAAGGCCCAACACAACCCTTAACCTGAAAGCCAACAGTGGGGTTACGCGGGGCGTACCCCCTTTAGTACGCAGAGCATACACACTCATGCATACGACTGATCGGGGCACCAACCTAGTATGCGGGGCGTATTAGGATTTACGTTGGGTGTATGCCCATCTTGCTTTAGTCCTTTTTCTTGGTCTTAACCCGTTAAGACCTCAACTCATCTCTTGGATCTAGACTCGTTAATAGCTTTTATTTCGTAAAGTCAGGGACTTTAAGCCTTTGCATGGCTGATGTGGTCATAATCACACAAAATACTCATTCTCATCTCTCATTAAGCTCTTATCTCATGCATGATTTAATTCTAACATCGAAGATCCCGTTTTTATGAAACTACTCGATCAAAAACAATCCAAAGGATAGATAATGGGTTCTAGAGTTTATCAAATCCTAATGCTTCAAGATATGGGACAAAAAACCCTACAATGAACCATACTATGCACAACTCAAAAAGGAGTAAGAAATATTCGAGCTTTATACCTTTCATTGATGCTTCATCCCCATTAAAGCTCAAACCCAAAGACTGGAATCCAACTCCTTTCGTCTTCAAGGTCTTCTCTTCTTCTTCATAAGCACACAATGACACTTTCAAGGTCAAATATACATACACAAGCTTAGAACGAAGGTTTGGCTCTCTTAGGGTTTCACTCTCTGTAAAGTGGTGGCTAGGATGGAGGCCATAGCATTCATTTTATAGTGCTCATGTCTCATTTAGGGTTTTGAATCTGGGCCCATTACGCCTAGCGTAAGCTAAGGTACGCCCAACATACCGGGGTAGAGTCCGCATCAGAGGCACGCCCATGGGTATGCGCAGCGTACTCTTCAGTACGCCCATCGTACCCACTCGTCCCCATTTTCTATTTTGGGCTAATTTTGACAACTTGGAAAAGAAGAAGGATTAAAGAGATACACCTAAATTTCAGGATGTTACATAGTTAATTAGCTTACTGAAAGGAGTTCCATTTTGATATGAGGAAAAATGAGAATATCCTTTAGTTTCAGTTGTGGTTTAATAGACAAGGTGCCAATATGAGATATGGGAAGAACAGTACCATTGCCAAATGCCACTTTGTATTTTCCATGATAAGGAATAGACGAGACAAGTCCAACAGAAGAAGGGGCCATGTGAGTTGTTGTACCAGAATCCACACACCAATCAGGAGTGGAATCGTTGATGTTGCAATCAGCATGGAAGGCCTGGGCTAGATTAGCAGCCGTGTATGAAGATTTATGGGCATAACTACCCAATTATGGACAAGAAGTATCATAATGACCATCATGTCTACATAATTAACACTGAGGGGGTCGTATGCCATGACCCCGAGAGGAAGAATTTCCCTAAGAGTTTGATCACCCAGAAGAGTTGGACCTCCCTCTCCCAAGAGAAGAAGCATCTGTATAGGAAACAAGGGAAGGAGTTGTAACATCCCAAATTTGAGCCCGAGAATTTCATTTTTGAATTAATAATTTTTAAGACATGTTACCATGACATTTTCAATAAAACAA